CCAGAGACACCGCCGACGACGCCATCTTCTTCGTCGGACATGAGGTCGACGGTGGCGGACTTACAGAGTTCCACTTCCTCATCTGCCAGCACACTCTGCCTCGCCTTCAGCAGCTGAAAAAAAAAACATGAATCAGCGCACTGCGTATGGACACAACACATCTATCAATGCGCCTGAAAAATAGTCACCAAATAAAGTCTTACCCTCTTTCGTCTGGCCCGACTCCGAGCAGATAGCCTGGCGGCCTCCGCACGCAGCGTGCTGGCTAGCAGCGTGTATCTGAAGCTCCTGCGTACCGTCTCATAATACGTCTTACAGGCAGCTGGAAAACAATTAAATGAGAGTGGTATGAATAAAAAAATAAAAAAAATCAAACGCAAGTCACAGTAACAAGGAAGGAGAAAACATTAAAACAAGTCACTTACACACAATGTCGTCTTTATCAACATCGTGCAAATCCAAGCAAATAGGAGGTCACCGCCTCATTGTGAGGCGACTGTAGTCTGTGAAAAAAATAAAAAAAGTACAGCTATGGTCGGTATCCATCCGTATCCATGTCCTTTTACCGCAAAATGAAAGCATATTCTTTAAACCTTACCCCTGCCGGTTCATAGCGCCTGCAATTAGTCTCCGAGTTGTTAAGACGGCATAATGCTTCCTGTGAATCACAAAAAATACACTTTAGTAAAGCTTTAGGCTAGGCTGCTTTTAGCTTACCTAGCTAGGCTAGGTTGTCTTTAGCTTGCCTAGCTAAGCTAGGCTGCTTTTAGCATAGCTACCAGTAATCGAACATATTTACCGCTAGCGTGGCGTTGTGCACCCGTCTTCTCTTCCTCGAGTTCGTATATATCCCGCAAAGTTGCTCGACTGCAGATAGGGTGGCCAGATGTCCGGCTTTAGGGCGGACAGTCCGGATTTTCATTGCACTGTCCGGCGTCCGGCGCTGCACCCAGCCGGACGTGTATTTGTCCTCCTTTACCCCCAGATTCCACATACTCCGTCAGCGCTCCGCCCCGCTCACGTACGGAGTACTTGTCTGTCTTCTTCTTCTTCTTGTCGAGTTTTATGGCGGTTGGCAACAAACTGTTAGTAGCATTACCGCCACTTACTGGTATGGAGTGTGGTTCGTGATGGTTTAAATATTGATCCTGATACATTCTACCCTAACTTCTTCTAAACATACATTCAAACATTCACACTTAAAAATATAAACATATTTGTGCACAGCTTTGTATATCATTCCTTCACTCACAAACACACTTACTATAATTAAATTCTATGGAATAATTTCGTTTTCTTTAGAAATCGAATAATTATTTGTATGTGTTTACTCCCTAAATTTTTCCTCAGTATATCTAATAAATTAACCTTCTCCTTAATGTCTTCAAACTCTCTTCTCATATATCTTCTCTCTTTTTCATATTTATGACATTCTAATATAACATGTTCTATGGTTTCATATTTATCACAGAAATCACATTTGCCCGTTTTATGTTTTTGTATTTTAAAAAGTGTATGATTAAGTCCTGTATGACCAAATCTTAACCTTGTTATCACTCTTTCATCCTTTCTATTTCTTCTTCCATTTCTTCTTTCTCCTACCATCTTCTGAATTTTATAAAACCATCTTCCTGTTTTATCTTCATCCCACCTTTTTTGCCAAATTTCCATAAGTTTCTCTTTAATAATACTCTTTCCTTCTGATTTACTTATTTTAACTATAAAACTAATAGAATGTTTAATTGCCCTTTTTGCCATTTTATCTGCCCTCTCGTTTCCTTCCGCCCCAATATGTGCTGGAACCCACACAAATGTAACTATCAGCCCCATGTTTCGTATTCTGAACAGTGTATGATTTATTTCTAATAAAATGTCCATCCTACTATCTGTATTACTTGTCTGTCATGTAAATCAATGAGAGCTGTTCCACATCCTCCGCTCGTCACCGCCCACGTACGTCTTCTCCGTCCTTCACCGTCAAAATACGGAGCTGAGCTATTTTTTGCTCCCCTCCGGTCCGTCCAGATCAAGACCCGCTATTGCAATCGCACCAAACAGAAAAAAGAATGTAGAGAAGACCCGGTTTGTCAAATTAAATTATAGTAAAAACAGATCGGTATCTAGAAATTAGAGCATAGTTTGTATATATTCCCAAAAACTAAAACAATAAATTTAGATTTTATTTCCTGGCAAAACATTCAATTCGGTTTATCCATTAAAGAAAAAAACATTTGGAATTTTTAATCAATATTCTAATAATTGTAACAAAGTATTATATCCATAAATGTCGCTATGCAAAATGCTCCCTCCCAATCTCTGCTCTCAAAAATGAACTTTCCCTTTTCAAAAGATGTCTGAGAAAGATGCAGAATTTAAATGCAATTAAATTGTTTGAGTTAATTGAAGAATTTCAGTTGGTAGTCCCCACTGATTAATTTACTTTAACTACTATTATTATTTTATTTATTTTTATTTATTTTATTTTATTTTATACTTTGTTCCAGCCTGTGCATTTAATTTTATTTTTCAAAAGCAGGAGTTGTGATATTTCTTCTTGTATTGAAATATTTGTTATTGACTTGTTATTTGAGATTGTTATTGTTTTCTTATATATTCAATAACAAAAAAAAAAAAGTGGAAATCTAAAAAAAAAAATTAACCATTACAGCCAACTGATTCTGATTAAAACTAATTTTTGAAGTAAATTATTTTGTGTATTTTTTTTACATAACATTTGCATACACAGTAATCTAGCGTACTTTAATTAAATAAATCAATTCAAGCTAAAATGTAAGAGTCTATAATTAGGCTATACTGAGCCTGATCTATTTCTACCATCTATTTGGGGGATATTTATTGCCACACTTTGGGCCACTTAAAACCAATTTAGCATGCTGACCTATGACCTTATGACCACAGTGTACCAATCTTCTGATGGCTACTTCCAACAGGATAATGCGCCATGTTATAAAGTGAATCATCTCAGAATCATTTCTTGAAACTTTTCCACTTAAGTAATTGTGAATTGAGCATATTGACAGACAACATTTTATTTTTTATCTTAAATGCAAATTTAAAAAAAAATAATTACTGCTCTAAATGTATTGCTCTGTCAGCTAAAGATCTGTTTTGGTCTCTATACTTTAATTAAATAAATCAATTCAAGCTAAAATGTAAGAGGCTATACCTGATCTCTTTGTATCAGAGATTTTCTTACCCAGGGTTGCAGGGGGGGGTAAAACCCCCCCCTGCAACCCTGGTTTGCATTTGTATAGCTCACAGCATGTTCATTTACATGTTAAAGCCTCCCCTAGAATTCCATGGGGGGGAGGCATGGGGGGAACACTGCCTAAGAAATTCCACGTCAATTTCTGACAATTTCCGGGAGTTTTCGTCGAAGCCTGCAAATTGCCGTATACTGCCGCTAACCTGAAGTTCCACGACAATCTACAGTGCCGTATATTGACGAAAATCCCACTTTTCATGCAGTGTGTGTGAATGTTTTGCAGCTTTGCCTCAGTTTGTTTGTTAGTTCATCTCTTTATACGTGTTGTTTCATGTTGACATGTTCAAATTGCCAGAGACAGCCAGTAAATACAAGTCAAACTCAACGCAGGCCCAGATGGGACCCACAGGGAAAGAGAAGACAGACGTCATTGGTTTCGCCTCAGAAGGACAAATATTGTTTTCTTTAAAATATATCTGGATTAATTGGTGATTTTCATTGACTCCATATGGGCTACTGAGCCCTCTACAAAAACTGACACAACTGTGAAAGTTGTAAAGCATTCCTATTTAAAGGTTTTTAAGGTTCTTTAAAGGAAATTAAAGATTTAAAAGTCTGTAAAAATGGATACAGATGAATTAAACTAAATCTCGCCTATTCCAGCTGCATAGTCTTGTAAAGTTTTTATTTCAAATGCAACCTTTAGTTTTAGAGGTGGAAACAATAAGTGTAAAGAGATATTTTTTTCATCAATAGCATTTAATCAGTTATCCTTCACCAATACAGGGATCTATTCCTCTCAACCACCATTCAGAACAGGAAATACAATAAAAGATGCCTTTCAAAAGTAAAGCAGAGGACTCCCCACCTGAATTTTTTGATAATGACATAATGATAAGGTAGGTAGAGGAGATAATAGAATAAAAAAAAAAAATAAAATATCCAAAGCTGGTTATTTAACAGCAGCATAAGGACCTTAAAGTCAGCGCGCTGTTTACATGCCAGCTGGTTATTTTGAAGTAATAGCAGGAAAAACTGGAAACACTGATCCTGGTTCTGGTTCTGTTGGAGATTTCTTCCTATTAAAAGGAAGTTTTTTTCTCTCCACTGTCGCTACAAGCATGTTTGGTGTGAAGGATTGCCTTTGAATCAATGGGTCGATGCAAACAGCTGTTTTACCTTAGATAGAAAGCTTTAAACCGATCCGACTGTATGATCTGGTTGAATTGTCTCTGTAAAGTGTCTTTGACATGACATGTGTTGAGAATTGGCGCTATATAAATAAACTGAATTGAATTGGATTGAAAAAGCCATTTTTATCCCTTAATTTACTCAAATCTGCTTGGACTTAACCTGCCATCGTGAACTTTGTTTATATGAGGATAATTTTTCCTGCAGTAACGCTCCAGGTGTGTCGAATGTGAAGCAAAGAAATACTGTATGTAGAGAACCCCCTTATATCCTTGGTAGAGTAAAGAGGTGGATCTGTGATGTTGATTGGCTGTTTCTCCTCATTTGAAAGCAACACCGATAAAGGATCAGTTTTGCCTGTTTCAGTGTTTATTCAGCTCTGACTTCAGAAAATAACCTGGAGGCTTGGAAACAGTATTTTCAAATGATGAGGGGATTAGAAATAAGTGTGGTTCTCTAATTCTACTGTTATATATTCAAGTTTCAAAACTCAAATGAGGCTGAAACACATTGTGAGGCTTTACTGTCCTCTGATTTCAAGGATGTTTTGGATCCTTAAAGTCATAATCTGTGTCCTCCTCAGGTCCAGAATGCTCCAGAAACTTCACTGCTTCCAGCGGCATCATTGAGACACCAGGATTTCCTGACAAGTACCCAAACAATCTGGACTGCACCTTCATGATATTTGCCGCCAACATGGCAGAGATCGTTGTGGACTTCAACAGTTTCGACATGGAACCAGATACAACGCCGCCGCCAGGCGCCGTCTGCCGATACGACTGGCTGGAGATCTGGGATGGCTTCCCTGCAGGTGAGGAGGCTGAAGCAGTTATTCATTAAACACCCTAAATCACACAGGTTAACAACTTAGCTTGAGTTTTCAGCTGTAAACATGAAGGAACTTAACTAGCTTACTTTTTATAGATAGTTTAGAAGTTTGTATCAGATTTCATTAGTTTTACTAAAATCAATTATAAAATAAGCTAACCTAATAAATGTATATTTACATCTGATGCTAATTTAGCTCCGAATTTCCAAATTTTTACACTGAATATATATGAATTATTGGGATTGTTAACTACTAAACATTTTGATTAGAACTGTTCAGATGCTGAAAGAGATACTTATATTTAGAATAAAACTGAGTTTTATTTACTTTTTGGTGTGGCTTTAATTCTAAAACGTTAACTTTCTAATACGTTGGCATAAATTCATGTAACTAGTTTACTAATAAAAATGTATCCTGCCTTTTATCTATACTGGGAGTTCGACATTTCCCAACTTCTAGCAGAAAATTTCAACTGGAAAATTACTTAAGTGCAATAATTAACTGGTTCAACTTGGATCTAAATTTAGTGCAGAACTTTAAAATTTTTAAGTCAATGCCCCGTACCTGTCTATGTCTCTGAAAGGGGGGTCGTTAAAGGGAATTGTTGGCCTGGCTGAATAGGCAAGGTTCTCCTCTCTCCTGTACAGAGGGTAGGGCTGTGGTGATAGAGGCAAGGGAACATCATGTCTGCCATGAGTGTACAGCGCTGCATAGCTGGGACCTCAATTCAACCAGTGCGACAGATGTTGTTGAGTCAGACGCAGTCATATGTTCAAGCTTTTAAAAATGTTTAGTCCTTGATTTTTAGATTAAGAAGGAAGGACATGATTTTAGATCACCTTTGACACTGGAAGAGGGTAAGAAGAGTGGTGAGAACAGCAGAGAAGATCATCTGGGCTCCTCTTCCCTCCATTAAAAACATTTCATCTCAGCGCTGCGTGTCCTGAGCCCGTATCATCATCAGTGACCCCTCACACCCCCACCATGGACCGTTCTCCCTGCTGCCCTCTGAGAAGAGGCTTCAAAGCATCCGATGCAGATCCAGCAGGTTCCAGAACAGTTTCTTCCCCACTGCTATTAGAAGAAAAAAAAACACTCTGAATGTTGGAATCTTTAAATCACATAGCAGTATTATGTTTGCATTTATCATTGCTGCACTTTAAAAATTAAATAGTCTTGAGAGCTATACTGAACGAAATTTCTTTTTGCATACTCTGTGTGTACAAAATTACAATAAAATCTGTCTAAGTCTACGTAAGTCCTGTTATAAGGTGCATTCTTTGTAATTATCCCGATGTAAACAACAATTATACAGCATTAAGTTGATTTTTTTCTTGTATTTCTAAGTACCATATTAAATAACTTACATGGATTACTATAACTGGTTTAACACCAGTTTCAGAAATCCAACCTGTGAGCAGTAATTAATTTAATTTTCTCATTTTAAGCTCTGAACACGATTTCGTGTCTAATCCAACAGGAAATCATATTGTAAGAGGTCATGGTATTTAGCGCTCATTGAGAGTGAATGGGGATGAACACAGTGATGCGATTCTCTGCAAGGGGGGCTCCAAACGAGATAGACCCCAGGTCTATTTTAGTTGTGTAGTCCGACTTCAGGAAGAGAGAAGCTGTTGTAGGGTTAAACACATCAGCTTTCGGAATATGTAAAGTAAAATCTATCAATTGCAAGGGAAAAGAGTCAGGTTTGTCCCCTTTGGAATCACACTGGAAACTGGAAGAAAAACTGAGTGGTCAAGGTTACTCCTTGTGAAAAAAAAAAAGAGATCACAAAATGAGTTGGCATCATTAGCTGTAGTTGAGTTAAATTTCCTCTGAACTCTAGGTCTAAATGTGGTTTACTTTCTTCCAACATTAAACTGAAGTAATGAGGAATTAAGTGTTCATCTGGTCAGAAAGGTGTACCATGTTAGATTGATGAAATCTTTCCTTCAGAATAAACCCTGGAGCTCAACTGGTTCTTGATAGTCGAAATATTCAGAAAGAAGTGCTTTAAACCTCAGTCGAGAAAATGAGTAATAAACCGGAGCTTCCACTAGGTAATAGTCATCACTCCAAACCAAATTCTCCTTTGCACAAATGGCAGCTGGATGTACTGAAAGTGTAGGGGGGGACTCCTACGCAGCTTGCTCATTGTTCCTTCACCGACCACATTTGGAAAATCGGCACATGAATGACGGAGACGCAACCTGCTCAACCCTCTGTTCACTCCGCTAGCTTGGACGGCTCATCTCAGCCTCCATTGTTGCCTAATTAGCCGTACAGCGTGCAGATAATCGTCAGAGCAGCACACCTCGGCCTGGTACTGTGACTGCTGCCAGCGATGGCCCACAGTACTCACCGAGGTATCCAGAGAGCCTTCTCTCCCCGATTATTGCCAGGGAGGAGACAGGCATGGCAACATAAGGGACATTTGGACTGGCACAGGTACACTGATATTGACATGCACTTTAAAGCTGTGCCAGTGTTCCCAACCTGCCAGGACTCTTCCTGTCAAACGATCTGTGATTGTACGTTTGTCAGTGTGCATTCAGGTGCATCTGTGCTGAAGAACGTGCGTGGGTTTGTTTGAGCCAAGCGTTCCCGTGTTGTCAGGGAAGATAAGGGAGCATCTCTGCAGGAGGGTTCAGAATGACGTGTTGTTTGTCATGGACTGATAACACAGACTTCTAAGGACTGGATTATGGAGCTTTCTTCTCCTGTTCTTTCAGCTCGGTTCCTTTGATTAAAAGTGCTTTTTATAATTAGACTAAATCAGACATCTGCAGCTATATATATATATATATATATATATATATATATATATATATATATATATATATATATATATATATATATATATATATATATATATATATAAAGTAGCATTTTTAAATATATCTTAACTGTTTTTCTTTCTTATTTTTTTCCATCACCTAGTCATTAAAGTTGAGCTATGTTAAATTAGCTTCTAATTTTCAGAGAAATTCTGAAAAATTCTAGGAAACGTTGGCTTCTCGTGAAATAGAAACAGGATGAAATAACTTAATATTAAGCACTTTGATTATTCTAAAATACTCTTCACACTGGATGCTAAGCGATTTGTACTTTTTTTTTTCCTAGATGTTCCCAGACTTCTACCTAATCTATCAAGATTTTACTTGAAAAACCAACAAAGATTATGATTTTATCATTAAAAAAAAGGATTTCAATTTTCTTTTAACAAATATAAATCTGAAAATAGTGGCTTGAACATGGATATGTGAAGAAATTAGAACATCCACAAAAAGTTGTTTATTGTTCAGGCTGCTCAGTGTTACAGTGGGTAGCACTGCTGCCTTGCAGCAAGAAGGTTCCAGGTTCAAATCCTGGTCTTTCTGCATGGAGTTTGCTTGTTCTCCCTGTGCATGTATGGGTTCTCTCTGGGTACTCCAGCTTCCTTCCTTCAAGGGCCTCCCAAAACATGACTTCTCTAAATTCTCCTTAGGTGTGAGTGTGTGCATGGATGGTTGTTTGTCCTGTTTGTCTCTGTGTGACCCTGCGATGGACTGGCAACCTGTCCAGGGTGTACCCCGCCTCTCGCCTGTAGACAGCTGGAGATAGGCACCAGCACCCCTCACGACCCCGCAAGGGATAAGTGTGATGTAAAATGGATGGATATTCAGGTTAGAAGGTTAACCTCATATATTATGAAGATTTATTAAATATTTAGCATTTATATTTATAAGTACTTGTACTCAGTGTCTTCAGCTTATCCTGTTGCAGAGGATTAGGCAGATACTGCTGAGCAGTTTGTTCCCCTATAGCTGGAACACACCCTCTGGTCCCTCTTCTTGTTGAAGGGGAAAGAAACCCCAGTCTGTCAGCCCACCAAGCGCATTTTAGAGGCCTGTCAACAAAAAAGACACCTTAGGCTCTCAGGGTGATTCTCACCACCTCACTGACTTCAGCCAGGAGTTTCTATGGTCTCTCAAAACTCCTTAAAAGCCTGAGTTTTTGGCTTTGCAGCCATCTTGGCAGCAGAACACTTTGCCTTAAGGTACCAGCTTGCTGCCTCTTGTGTCCCACAAGCCAACCAGGCTCAAAGGGACTCCTTCTTCAGCTTGACAGCATCTCCTAAGTTCATGGGGGGGCACCACAACAGAAACCACTGACTTTACGGCTTGCTACGGAGAGCCGCATAAGCATTAGAGGCAGAGAACATGGTCCAATCAAACAGGTTGAACATATCCCTGACTGAGGGCTCCACCAGATGTTCTTAGCAGACCCTCACTATTTGCTTCTACGAGATCTATCTGATATCCACCTTTTCCTGTGTATTCAACCCACCAGATGAGGCTTAGAGGGGGCTTAGATGAGGGAAATATTTAAATATATGTGTATTTACACTGCAAAAAATAGAAATCTATTTTTTTTTTGCTTAAATTAAGTGCATTTTTTCTTGAATTGAGGAGATAAATCTGATACTTTGCCAGTGGAAATAGACAATTTACATTTAAAATAAGAAAAAAAGAATTGCTTTGTCTTATTTCAAGTGCATATTATCTAATTATCTTGTTTTAGGAGTAAGAATACTCATTCCATTGGCAAATCATCTTATTTATCTGCTAAAATTAAGGGTAAATACACACAATTTAAGATTTTTTTTTTTACTTAATTCTAGATGGTTTTTGCAGTGTATGTTGTTATGGCATAGAGATAGTTTCTAAAAATCTAAATTTAGTGTTTCATTATATTACAATATTACATAAGATCCTTAAAAAGGTATTTCAAATAGAAATATCAGGCCTTTTTTCTAAATTAACAGTATGTATCAGAAAAAAAGGCCAAGAGGCTCATTGCAACTCTGGAGGAGCTGTTCTGATCCCCAGCTCAGGTGCTCTTCTCATAAAACAACAATAAGTTGTGCCCCTCAAAAACCTGACATTTTGTGTAAATGGTTATTAAAAAGTCAGAGTTAGAAAGTATAGTTTGTCCTTTAGGGTGGCAGCATCATGATGTGTGTGTTTGTTAGAAGAAAGGAGGCAGGAGTTTACCTCTCAACAGGACAACAGCCCTAAAAATACAGCAAGGAAAGGCAAATTTATTTGTATAGCACAATTCAGTACAAAGACAATGCAAAGTGCTTTACATGATTAAAAGAGCTGCAACGATAAAGCTGTCAGGAAATTTTAGCAGGCATCCCCAAAGTCGGTCCTCAAAGGCCGCTCCTGCAGGTTTTAGAGGTTTCCCTGCTCCAGCACAGGTGATTTACATTGATAGTTGAATAACAGGCTTTTGCTGAGCTGCAATCATCAGAATCAGCTGTGCTAAAGCAGAGAAACCTCTAAAACCTGCAGGACAGCGGCCCTCGAGGACTTTGGGGATGCCTGGTCCAATTAGTAATCTGTGGAAAGACTTTTTTCCACAGTTATTATTTGATCTGACTGAGCTTAAATCCAAGATTCACAAGGTTAGAGAGACTTGCATCTTTAGGCGCAGTAAAGCTAGATAATTATGGACTACCTTGTCTTGGTGTATCAGATAAAATATCTTTAAAATTTGCATGTGAATCTCTGAAACAATAGCTTGAAATCCAGGATGAACCTTTAAGCTCAAGCTCCATAACAAGCTGTTATCAAAAAAAGAAGCTTGAGTTCATTCTATTTTACACATATCCAGTTTCCTCATATATATATGTGATTCCTCGCGGCCTGCAGGAGTTTGTTTTTCCTTATTTTAGGTCTGATTGCATCAGCCGACAGCTTTGGAGTAAAAACCATTTCACACGTCCTGCGATAAGGCTGAAATAGCTCCAAACGTAATCCGTCACAGATCGCCGACTACCTGCTTCAGACTGTAACTGATAAACGTAATCCATCAGATTAGCTCAGCATTCCTGTGCGAGTGCTTCATGTTTCTTTCTTTCTTTTTTTTTTTTTTTAGCTCTTTACCTCTAAGCTGAATTTAAAGAATATATTTTAGTGAAATAATAAAAGAGAGCAGACGCAGTATCTCCAGCGAGTAGCACCAAAAGCTTCATTTTGGGAGTCGCAGATAAGGAAAAGCCTCAAACTGTGGACTTTAAATGTCATTAGACATAAAACAGACTGTCTCTCTGAATGTTTAATGAAACTAAAATACTCCTGACTTTTAGATATTTATTTTCCAGACAGTTTAATTCCATAGATAATAAATGCACACATCAGTTTTTTGCATTTATCTCTGTTTAAAATTGATACTCCTGCTCCACAGAGGAATTACTTTCACCAATTTCCTCTGCTTTTCATAAGAAGGTCCAAATGCATTTGTTACTTAACAAAAAGGGTTTGATTTTTCACTCGGTACGCTTCCAGTTGATTAATGCCGGTTAATTACTGGCTTACAATTTGTCAGACAAGGGGAATATAGTGGGAAAATAAATGAAAAAAAAAATGTAATAGTTGCAGTTCATTTAACCTGACAGTTCTGGAGTAGAAATATTTATAACATAATTAATATTCGACTGGAATCAGCCCTGTTTTATTAGAAGTTTCTTTAAAACAGTTTTTCCCAATAATAATTATTAAAAAGCTGTATGTAATTTGCATAAATGTGAAAACTTCTATAAAAGTAATCAGATTCTGGGAATGCAGCAATGGCTGAAATTTAATTTAAGTCTGCTTGAGCCATGATAAATATTCAACAGGGAGACGGTCAGTGACTAAAACAAGTTGTCAGTGTTTCTTAAAGGTATACTGTAGTGCCGGATTTTCTTTTTCCGGGTGGATCATTAAAATAAGTGGTCCTCCTAGTTGTCAATCATTCTGGTGATATGTTTACGTAAGGCCGTCCTACGAGCTGGTCACCATTTTCACATTTGGTCAGTCTAATATAGTGGAAAAATTGTGAATCTTCTTTTGGAAAATGCTGGTAAAGGTTCTCAGGGATCCAGGTCACAGTCATTCCAAAAAAAGAAAATTGAAAACAATCCACTGGACTTTGTTTCCAAGTTTGAAGACATTTGGCTTCCCATCCAGGAAGATTTTTCAATTCACATGTCAGGAATAGTGTTAAGTTGGCGGTTTTATGCAGTAGCCCAACAAAGCCTTGTTTTTGTTTTAAAAACATGCAAATTGGAACAGACGAAGGGGTGAACCCCTTTGGAATGGGGGTCGTTTGGCTTCTTTTGTTAGACTGCAATGCCCCATACCCAACTGTCTGTAAGGTCGGTTGTTCTTTTGCAAAGTAAGCTGGTATGAGCGACGCAAAGAGCAACTTTTAAACAGAGTGCGCACGCTCCCACACGCGTTTAATAGGTGTTCCCTCTGGAGTGGGTACAGGGTTTTGCATGTATATTTTTTTCTAAATTGTAGAGGACTTGTCTTTTCAAAAATCCTCCATTATACCTTCAAATATCAGAGGCATCATGCTGCCAGTTTTCACATAAAAAGATATATTCTCTTTCTCTCTTTGGAAAAAAAGTAATGTTACAATATGAAACTCACATAAACATTTTGTTCAAGGGCAAGATCCATGCTGTTATGTCTGCCTTATAGAAATATAAATGAGAGGGACAATAAAAATAGCCCCTTGCTTTAAACAGGTACGACCTGGTTTGAGATATTATACCATTAAGGGTAAAAAAAAACTACACTTTTTAAAGTATTCACACAGAAAAACACAGATCTATGATTTGGATTAACTGATTTTATTTAAAACAGAATCATGATGAATAAACTGAAGGAAGACTCTCCCTCGGCATTAAAACCTGCTAATTCCAGTTCTAAGTAAAAATTTCTAACTACACAGAAAAATACCTTTTTTAATGTTTGTACCTTTTTGGAGAAAGATAAGTATAACAGTGGCTGAAGTGTGTTTAAAAATCCAAACGTGAGCTTTAATCAGCCAGCTGACAGGCAGTGGGCACAAAGAGGAAGAGGGGGGGCTAAACTGATTTAAACTTTATTCTCTAATCTCTGCCTTGTCAATTTCTTTGGTGTTTCTTTGCAATGATTTTTAGTGAACAATGGATATTAAATTTTTTTTAAACCTTGATTTCTTTGGTAGCCAGCTGATGGCTAATACCTGTCTTTTTTTTGGGTTGACTTGTTATAAGTAGCATTCAAGATAATAGGTATTTATTGTTTTAATAAAAGTATTTTGATTAATCAACCTAAATAAATTGTGCAGTTTTTACGTAAATTAATTGTTTTATTTCTATCCTCTACCAACCTGGTGGGGATTTAAAATGGGTCTCAGAAACAGGCAATCCTTGATGGGATGATTTTAATGCTTGAATGTAGGACTCAGTTGACAACTAAAGAACGTGTGTGATTAAAACCAATTTTTATTATATTTAATACTATAAAACACAGTTTTTGTGAATAAGAACAGGAGAGGATTAAACAGGTGTAGAAACCAGACTTTAGCTACTAGACAAACATTACATGATGTCTAAACAACATTTCATTTACCAACATAAAAGAAACTTGAACATGAAATAATTTAGGAAATACCTTTAGTTGGATAGATTAGGTTTAACAAGAGGGGAAAATGTAGTTCACCTTATCAACCAGCTCCTAACGAAGCTGATAAGATAAATATATAACATAAAGAACATAAAAAAACATTTCCAAATATTAAGGACATTATAAAACAGCCTTAAAATTAATCAGAGCTTAGTTGGGAGAGCTCTGTACGAGCATGAAAAACACTGATAACCTGAAATACTGTTTACACACAGGAAGAAATGAAAGAATAATTACAAATTAGTGAATCAGAAAACCTTTTGTTGAACTAAATGACATTGTAATTGCAAAATAAACAAAGCATATTAAAAAAAACTATCAATAAGACATAGACAGGCATGCCACTAGTTTTTTCACAGCAATTTAGATTAGGTATTACCTTTTATTGTTTGTATTTAATCTAAACTGAACATTTTCTCACACTGAGAATGAAGTTAAGATGTAAACTGTTGTGCTAGATGGCTCAAAAAGCTGATTTGCCTATTTTCTCTCCGACTTTTTTCCACAGTGGGTCCCCACATCGGCAGATACTGTGGCAATTCCTCCCCAGGTCGGGTCATCTCCCACACTGGCATCCTGTCCATGACCATCACCACGGATAACGCCATCGCCAGGGAGGGGTTCACGGCCAACTACACCATCCGGGAGAGGATCCTGCCAGCTGGGCATGAGGCCGAGGGTGAGAGTCTAACTCCGTACAGTCGCTGTTGAAGATAGCCCCTTTAAAGACATAGGGAAATCATATTTAAATTTTTTTTTTTTTTTGTTATCTTATGTCGGCCAGTTAGTTATACGTCAGCTTGTACACTTAAATTCAGCCAATCATTTATTAACGATCATCTGTCAATCAAATGTTTTTAGTCATAGCATCTTGATTCATATGTCGCTGCTAATATACGCAACGGTTGAAATAAGAATAATTTCCTTTCCCATTAAGTTCCGTCCCAGTGTTCACGGGGATGGACGTCTCTGTCTTTAGCAGGCGTAGAGCTAACAGAACTGGCAGCGTTGCGAGGCGAGGGCTCAAACATGTACGGCTGGAAGCCTTCTACACCGAACCAAGCTTCTGCCGCCCTGGCGTCCTCTTCCACAACATCTTCTTCCCTCCTATAAATAAAAAATGTATGCAGAGGAGACTCATCCACGACCTCCGACTCTAAACTCTCCTCCTCTTGCATGTTTCCTCTGTCCATAGCGTTCCTTTACAGTGTCGTTTCTAAGTCACCAATTTAGTGCTACTTGGTCCCAATGGAATTTCCCATTGGGACCCTACTAGCACTAAGTTGCTAACTGGTTAGCAAGATGCTTTCGAGAAACCGGCTAGAACTTACAGCCAAGTTTTACTTATCTGGCCGGTTCAATGTGTTGAAAAATAGCTATTACTGATGTTGATGCAGATGTATTAACATCTGCATTATGGAAACAAAAGGAAAACGCAGTAGATCTAATATTAACAGTTTAGAAACCATTGCTTGTGAAAAATCAGTATAGAATCAAACATCTGCAGGAAATGTAGCTTTTTAATTCTTAACAGTAATGTGTGCCATAGACAACAGTTCAAAGTTCATTCCTGCATGTTAAATAAACCCTTTAAGCCTGGGGGTTTTCCAGTGGAGCCTGCATTTGTGCATTAATGATGTCTGATATGTTTGACTTGCTTCTTTAACACCTCTGCTCCTGCAGTTGACACATTTCTCAGCTCTAACCGAGCACGCAATGAGATCCTATGCAGCATTTAAATCATTAATAAGCTCATGCATATCATTAAGCACAAGACGGTTCCTTTGTTTAAATTATTATGACCTTTCTTACTTAATAGATGATGCTGATATCTTTTTTATTATGATTGCATGTGAATATTTGACTCCTCTTGTTAATAAATGACTAAACACAAGGGGTTATATTCCAACAGTAATAACCTTAATGACAGCACTGCTTAAAGCTGAGTTGTTGAGGTAAAACTCTTTTAATAATCTTTCAGTTTAGACTCTACTTTTATTATTTTATGCATTATAATGCATTCTAAATTTAAGTATATTAAATTTGGATGAGAGGGATATAGATACCCTGGATTTGTAGGTGAGTAAATGTTGAAATAAATAATAAACCTACATTTCCACACCCATAATCCGCATGTTTAATCTTGTAGAATGAAAGCAAAGCTGAAAGAAATGTGGTGAAACACATCATAGCAGTGAACTGGTTCAAAAAAACTTTCTTAGTGTTAGAAACAGATGCCAGAGAGAATAGAGATAAGAAAGATTAAGAAGACTTGAAATAAAAAATAAAATAAATAAAAAAACTATTAAGAATTTAGCTTTAAAACAAATCCGTTTTTAGTGTAATGGGTTTCCTCTACAAGAAGGAAGACAAATGCTCCCACTTCCTGGGATATAAAGTAACTTTTTTACTTATCTGTTGGCACAATTTGACACAGTTTTAATGTAAATATCAGCAGAAAGATCTGATTTTAATCTGCTGTTTAAATAACTATTCGAAAGCCTATTTTTCCAGTAGGATACCGCTCACATTTTTATCAGTTTGACCCAATTTCAGGTCTTATCTTCCGCTGCTGAGCAAACAGTTTAACCAATTTTACATCAGAATTTTATCAGGAGTGAAAAACTTTCTCTAAATCTGTTATAGCTGTTTTTTTAGGGGCTTCTGACAAAAGAAGCCAGTTGTCTGCAATGTTGGGATGCCTGTAGAGATTTAAGCTGCTTGTAAACTGTAGAGTTGTTGCCGTTTGATAACGTCATGCTCTGATCAGTATCAGGGATGTTGGTCATCTAAAAGAAGGGTTTGCAGAAGGTCCCACTGTGGGCAGTCTGTAGAAACATTTACAACAGCCAAAATAGATTTACTTCAAGACTTTGGAGCGCTCCAAAGTGTTTATGTCTTTGTTCTGAGTTGTTGGTGTCCCAGCTGGACACAGAAGGGACCGTTAAATATCAATTTACCAGAACAACAAATGTAACTAGGCAAGCTTCTGCCCATGATGTATTTGTGAATCTCAGGAATGATGTTTGTGTCACTCTTGCAGACCTTGTGTCTCCAAAACGTCCTCCCACTCAGATACAGAAACACTCGCATTTCCTCTGGCGTCCCCCTCCCTTTTCCTTCCCAAGGTTCTCCTGCTGTGACAGAAAAGACGCCGCCACTACTTTCAACCTATCTCTAACCCTGTATCAAATTTGAAATCAAAAGTGCCTTACAATCACAAAAGAAGATACAAACATCCATAAACTTCTGTTGATCTTGAATCTTGTAGACTAAGAGAAATGAACCTGAATCATCCTATAAAAGCAATGGACTGACGTGTATTTGTCAATTAATTCACTGCAGCGACTTTTGGTCATTATCCAGGATTTTTCAAGCCTTTATAGGTCTACCCAAGTAATTTGCTTTCCCATATTAAAGGCCCCAATCTGGGTGTAGGCTTTCAGCCTGCCCTTGGACTGTGTAGATATGGGTTATGTACTGAGCACCAATGATTGGCAGAGCCTTTTGGAGCGGATGCACGTTAGATATGCATTCTCCATCTTGTTTTCCTCCGAAGGCCAGATTCATAGGCCGATTACATCATAGCGCGTCGCCGAGGTCTGGTCGAATTCCAAAACTCCTCATCATGCGGCCTTAAAATGCGTCCTTCTCCCTGCTTGATTTGAAGGACGGGTCTGGTGTATCCTATGTAGCTCTAGATATCCCAGGATTCATTGCAAGTCCAAGTGAGCCGGCTGCACCTGTGATCAGAGGAAAATAGTACTTTGTGCCGAACAGTGGTGAATATTGGAAATTCTGTTTAATATAATACATGTATGTGAATAGTTCCGTCTGAAATGAATGAAAATAGTTATTTTAATGGTGATTGAGTCAGATATGTGACGGTAATGTTTGATTTATCTAAGGGTTTTTATCTGTTACTGTGTAAATGGGTTTAATGACAGATTCTAATATATCTGCAGGGTGGGGGTCTATAAATCTGATTGATTATTCATATTTATTTCTCTCCAGATTTGAATTTTTCTTTTTTAGGAACTTCTGCTCCTCCTCTCAAATCCTTGATTTGCAGTCTGGAATTTTTCTTAGATAGTTGCAAATGCAGTGAACATACCCCAATTCTTGCCCAGACAAGTTCTTGCCCTGAGATAACAGTCTAATCCACCACTGATTAATAAATAAAACATTTCTGCAGGTATCAAAATGTGCCAGTTATTACTGAGGTATGTTTGTAAAGTCATAAACCTTTTTATACTATGACTGATATAGCTAAATGTCCTCTTCCTAGCTGGTGGCATTAAGTTTTGAACAGTCCCGTAAATGAGCTTCTGACCGTTTCTCTCTGACTTTCACAGATTTTGGCTGCATGGAGCCTTTGGGCATGGAGTCTGGAGGCATTACCTCTGACCAGATCAAGGCTTCCTCCCAGTATAACTCCAACTGGTCACCAGAACGATCCCGACTCAACTACCTGGAGAACGGCTGGACACCCTCAGAAGACAACAACAGGGAATGGATACAGGTTGGTCAACTTTTTAAAGGTTTATTTGCTGACTAAGGAAGGATTTTAAAAAAAGAGGAAATGCTCATGAAAGGAATAAGCATTTTATGCATTGAACACACTGTGTCCTCCTTTTCCAAATAAGGAAGTTTGAAGTATTGCCGCTTTAATCCCCACATTTAGAGTCTGATCTCAAAAATAAAAGCCTCTGATTCCCCTGTAGAAAAACAGCTCCTCTGTTTTCCTTTCACTGCACCACGGAGAGCTCGCTCACAGCTGCTCTGAATATTGCTCACTGATTTGTACCACTCTTCTACACGTTCCAGGGACAGTAGATGGGGGTAAAAAAAGCCAACATGCATCAATTATTTACATCTGCTTCTACAGTTTGCTATCATCATTCTGAAATCTGACATAGCTGCCTGCAGTTACTAAATGTAGACATAAAAGATTCATAAAATATTCTTGTATAGCTTAAAGTGATGGTGTTTACTCATCTGAACACTGATAAAGGTTAAAATAAGTGAATCATTTTGCTTCATGATTTGACATCTTAAGATTGTATTTTAGGAAGTATGATACTTTTAGTTTGTTACATTACAGTTGCAAGGCAGTATATCTGATGGTGCATGCATACGTTATGGACAAAGAACATTCTTTTGAAGACCAGAATGTTCACATTTTGGACAAAGAAGAAAGGTGGATTGAGAAGTGGGTGCAGGAAGCCAACTATGTTAAGCGGGGCTTACACTGTACGATTTTTGGCCCTTTATGGGTACGATTTCCCAGTCATGCGAGAATTTTTCAATCCGGCCGACTTTTAGCTTGATCATGTATCGTGTAGCACATAGGGGGTAACGAGGGGCAATAAACCTCTCAAGACCACCTCCCCATCAGGAATCGTAAGGTCGGAAGAAAATCAAACATGTTTGAAATTCAGTCGGCCTTCGTAAGGTGGTCGTGGGAAAAATCGCTCAGTGGGCAAACAAGGATTCTTCTTCTTCTTCCTCTCAGGAAAAATAACACACAAGCATGGCAGGGGTGTGAGTGAAATGGAGTTCTTTCTTTTAAACTGATGGACCATCTATAGTAGCCACGTTTGCTAAGCCATGTCTTCATCCAAATACGTCATCTCCTTTTCTTTTTAGGGCTTTCAACACAAAATTGCCAAGGCAGCGCGTTTCTCTCTAGTGAGCTTCATATTCCTCTTCTACTCGTTTGGCTTCCGGATAGACGAGTCCCAGTAGCGCCATCTCACTGCGGAGCTCAGTCCAACGTGGTTTTTAGACGTATAGTGTGAGCAGGTAGATAGTATCATAGCGTTGGGCCGCACATGCATAAAAACAGAGGGGATGGACTCAGATTTCTGCTTTCAAAAACCTACAATGCAGCAATTGAGTTGATCCCTTCCCGCTATCATCGCAACCCCCACCCCATTACAGAGGAACAGTGCACCTCGCCTCTACATCCAGGCCAACAATTCCCTCTAACGACCCCCTTTCAGAGACATAGACAGGTATCGGATATTACAGGCTAACGAAAAAACCAAAAGACCCCAATTCCAAAGAGGCGGACCCGTTCGTCAGGTACAATTTGCATGTTTTCTAACCCAAAACCAATCTTTTTTTTGGTCCACCATATAAAGCCTTGAACTCAACGCCATTTCTGCCATTTTTAATTGAGAAAGCTTCCTGGATGGTAAACGAAACGTCTTCAAACTTGGAAACCAAGTCTAGTGGATTTTTTTTTTTTACTTTTTTTAGAATACAGTAGCAAGCAAAGGTTTGACGTTAGCCTTGAAGAGAGTCTTTAGTTGTTTTTGTCTGAATCCAGGAAGAATGATTTAAGTATACACAATATCTACAGTTAAAATTGTTTTTGTGTTGTTTTTTTCGGAATAATTTAAAAAAATATATGATAAAGCCAGGGTTTTACAGATATTATATTTAAAAGTATTAGATGTACTATTTTGAGCTCGATTTGTTATTAGTATGGCTTCATTCCCTTATATCTATGTATGTATCCGCAGATTATCCATTTAACTTTGCAGGTTTGCAGACCAGTTGCTCGTCTATCACAGAGTAGCTAGGCTACAGCTTACACTCACTCATACCAAAGGGCTATTTAGTGAGACAATATTTCTAACCTGAATATTTTTGTATTGTAGCAGTGAATCAGCACATCTCAACTTTTTAGAATTAGTTATCACATTGCAGAAGTGAAATGATCTGGATCTGGAGACTAGGAGAATCAAAATATAATTTCTGTACTTTATTTCTTGTGTTTCTTCATTGCTACCTTTTATATTTCTACATTTAATTCCAGTATTATCATCTGAGAAAGTTGGTCAGGGTTCAGACTGCGGGGTGAGTATTTCATTTTCATGCCAGCACAGTATGCTTTTGATTGGCAGAGGTGGATTTAAAAAAGAAATGTGAATAAAACTAAACATTTAATGAATTAAGAACATTGTAAATACAGACAGTTCTTTTAAGATCCCCAAAAAGAAACAAGTTCATCATATCAACTAAAATCTCTGGAACCAGAAAACATTTTTTTTTTATTTAGATACCTCTCAGGGGGGTTGAATTATCTGTCCACTGATTCACATGTGGTCAAAACTTTAGATATTTACATGAACTCCTTTACCTATAATTGAATTTAGAAGCCCAAACAAGCATGTTTTCTTTTCTTCTCTGGTTTGAGCCAAGAAAGCAGCTTCATCCAGTAATTATTATCTAACCAGTATAGAAGGCTGTGGGTTGGGGTCTTGTCCTGTCCCATTGTCCAGGACAGGAATTCATAGAGGAAGACTCACAATGCCCCCCGCTATAGGAGCAGACCTTCACTTCCCTCCTGTGCCGCTTACAACAGGAAGCAGACAGGAAAACCTCCACAGCACTGGATTACTAATTGTGCTTTCAATTGTCTGTCTGGGGACTTCTTTTAGCTACTGGCTCATAGCCGAGCCCTTTGGGATATTAGGAAATGAAGGACACTGATTTAATTGGGGTTAATGGGTTCATACGCTATATGGAAATTGCTAGTTTTACACAAAGGTCATAGACGACATTGAAAATGTGTCCCCGCATAGCCGTTTTCTTGTATAAGATTGTTGTTTGAAGTGTTTCTTGGAATAATGAGGACACCACCAATGAGACGGTAAACTTTATAGAGAAACTTTGATCGATAACCGAGCAATGAGGAGAAGTGCTACCCTGAAAAAGCAATTATCTTTTAGCAGAAATGTTAGGGGTGTGGAAGTAAGAACGTTCGTTAGACTAGTTATTTCCTGTCCCCGCGTCTAATTTGTGTTTTTATGTAAATGGTGGTGTTACTCCAGGCTGCATTCACTCCGGGCGATTATAACGTCTCCGTTTGGGTTAAAAAAAGAGGCAGATTGAGCAATTTGGCTGTTTTAGGAGTGTGAGAAAGTATCTGTGAGACTGATTTTTTATTAACACTTGAACTTCACATGACATTTTAACCATACCTTATAGGAAATGCCATCTATTCCCAGGTTTGCGTATTATTATTTCTGCTTGATATTTAGTAACACAGTTTACAGATAAAATAAAGGCCTTGTCATAAGTCAGTAAGTTCAGAGAATATGATGAAGTGTTTGGTGTGTTTGTCTTTTCTAATCAGATAAGCATCAACAAAAAGTCAATGATATAACAGCTGGAGACCCATAACTAGTTTTAACTAATGAAACCAGACCAATGCGTGTAATCCTGTGATGTAGCCGCAGACCTCTTCATATTTATTAAAAAAGAAGGCAGCGATTCTGAGAAAGCAAAGTAACCCTGACTGGGTTATTTAAGTAACAATCAAATAACAGTAATAATCCGTTTAAATGTTTGGCTTTAATCATTTCTACTACTAATTTCATAAATATGATTTTTCTTGATTTATTTTTATTTACTTTGTGTTCTAAATAGGATTTCTGGATGCCGGCCATGTTGTCTAATAACCCACAGTGGGGTCCAAAAACCTAAAACTGAGCACCAGAGAAATGAAAAATGTAATTTTAGAAAAAATATTGGCATTTTTCCAAACATTTAAGCACTTGGTTTATTTTAAGACTTAATTACTAAGTTGTCTACCTTTATCCTTTCTTTTTCTGCGTCTCCCAAACGCCAAAAAATTCATTATTTAAAAAGAAAAACAGTAAACAATGATAAAATATAAGTAGTATTTTTGATTGTTTGCCTTATGTTATCAATTTGATTACTCAATGTTTTGTTGTTTTTGTCATTTCCATGTCTCCCATCCCTTTTTGTTTATCAAGTCAGTCCAATATGTGTGATTGTTTCTAACTGCATCCAAAGTGTAAAAGTTGTTCCTGCCCTCCAGCTTGAGCAGGATGTGCCGACAGATTCACTCTATCTGGTCAATAGGTTTACAGCAACAAGCTCTCAGACTAAAAATCAGCTCCTGATCTCTCCAGGAAGACAGCTTTAGATGCATTTGTGTATCGCTTCTTTTAAATAGGTTCATAAAAGGCTTTCTGGCAGCTTCTCCTTAAGAAACAGACCAGACCCATCTGCCTGTGTGATTAATGTCCTTCTGAACTGGTCCTGTTGCTCTGCCTGATTGGGCCTCCAGAGTAATGACTGGTGGTTTTTGTGAAGAGAATTTTCCTTGTTATTTGATTAAGTATGCTGCTGGCCAGCTCCACACCACATCTCAGCCTGTGGCTTTGGATTCATCTCATTTAAGATGAAAATTATGACTCGGTTAATTTGCTTGCCTGTCCCTTCAACTGCAAGCAACTCTATTAATTATTTACAGCCATGTATATTTTATTGATGCTATTTTCAGGCTACTATTCATTCTTCCCGCTGGCAGTCTGCGTGGAGGCAGATAGTGGGCTCATTATCTGGCTTTATTGTAAGTCTGTAATCATATTTCTCATTTCAGTTGCATGTTGGAAAGTTCCAATCAAATTTAAACCTCTTAAGTTCATGAATAAATAAAACAGAGCGGTCGAAGAGATGTTTGGCCCCATACAGTAAGTG